ATTCTCATTAACAATATTACCAAATCTAGCGTTTGAAATGTTTTGTATTTTGGTTTTTCTGTGCATGAAATTTTGGACCAGAACGGCCCGTTCTGAAACTAGAACGACCCGTTCTGGTTACACTGTTAGTGTGTTAATTTTGGACCTGGAACGGCCCGTTCCAGGTGCAAAATTTACACACTAACAGTGTAACTAGAACGGGTCGTTCTGGTTTTAGAACGGGTCGTTCTGGTTTTAGAACGGGCCATTCTGGTTCCAGGTGTATTCAAGTATTTTTTGATCCACTTACATGGCATCCACCTAGCATCCACGTGGCCACCAGTTAACTCCATCTAAATCATTTGGACGAAAGTCCCAAATTGGAACGATTTAAATTATTTGGGACCAAATTGAGACAAAAAATTAAAGTGAGACTAAATTGAAACAAAAAAACATTGTAAGGGACCAAAAGAGGTATTTAACCTATAATATATGTTTCACTTCCTTGTCTATTTGAAGATCTATACCCATGTATTGTCCACCATTTTGCCTCAAATGAACCTTATGAAAGTAGCTCATTAACAAAAAATCTGCCAAACATTGGTGGTGTAGCCAATGCTTACTTCAATGTTTGAAAAGCTATATCATATTCCTCAGACCGTTGAAAATTTTTAACTTTTGTTAACATTTTCATGATATGTTTTGCCTTCTTGGCCAATCAATGAATAAACCAAGATAGTGATGTCAATCTTTCTATTAATTGATGAACTTCTTTTAAAGTCTTTGGACTTCTTATAACAATTACCGCTTGACATTTATTAATATTATCTTGTATTCCTCATATTGAGATATGAAGCCAAGGAATTTTCCACCTTGTGTAACAGCCCAAACACATAGAATAAGAGGGATCCAAAGTTTTGTGCCAAGTATGAGATTGTATAATTGAGGATGACTTAAAAGAATTAATTTGTAATACCTAAATCAACAAGATGCATCTACTTTTTGATAGCTCATCTCAAAAGAAATTCAAGTTAAGCATGCTTGGCTCAAAGTAATATCAAGATGAGTGACTTTTTGGGAAGTTCCTCAAAAAACATGTGAATGAGGATAAAACATGCTAAAAAGTCTTGTATTAGTTTATGAGGTCAGTCGTTGATCCTAAAAGTGGGCGGACATCACAAAAAGGATGTTGATAATGAAACTGGTTAGTCGTTGATCCTATTAGTAAGGAGAGTCCAATAACTAAAACTCCCTTATATCTTTGAATGTTATGATAGAAATTCCTAACTATTAGACTATGAGGATCACTAGTATGCATGACAAGAAGCTACTGTGGATTTTACTTGATAGTGGAAGTACAAACAATTTCTTGTACTTGGAAGTGGCCAAAAGACTAGGTTGTAAGCTAGATAAAATCACTCTAATGATAGTCATAATTTGGGAGGTACTAGATTGTAGGCTCTTTATCTGTACAAGGGGTTTAGTTGACAACAACAGATTTCCTTCAATGTGGATGTGATTGTGCTTCCCTTTGATTGTTGTGATTTAATATGGTTGAAGTCCTTAGGGTCGATATTGTGGGAATTCACCAAGTTCTAGATGGAATTTTCAATTAAAGGAAGGATGGTCTTACTTAGCTTCTGACCTTATAGGTACTCAGTACATCAAAAGGACATTGTGAATAACCTTGTTGAGGAAATGTTGCAACAAGGTATTGTTCAAGATAGCAATAGCCCATTTGCATCCTCAATTGTTTTAGTCAAGAAGAAAAATGGTTCTTGAAGATTAAGTGTCAACTATAAGAGACTCAATCAACACATTATCAAAGACAAGTTTCCTATTCCCTTGATAAAGGACTTGATGGATGAAATATGTGAATATACAACTTTTTCTAAGCTTGATTTGGCTTTAGGATATCATTAATTGATAAAGGAATATAGTGAAAAGTATAAGAAAACCTTCAAAGCACGTGTTGGGAAACTATGAATATTTAGTGATGCCTTTTAGACACATTAATGCTTCAACATCTTTTTAGGCTCTAATGCTTCATGTATCCCATCCATTTTTTAGAAGATTTATCATTATCTTCTTTTGTAATATTCTTATTTACAACCTCACCATAGAAGATCATGCCACTCATTTGGGGTTTGTGTTTAAAATTATTAGGAGTAAAAATTGTTCCTAAAAATGATAAATGTTATTTTGTCACTCCCAAGGTTGAGTATCTAGGACACTTCATTAATAAGGAAGGTAAGTCTAAAAACCTTTCTAAATTTCAAACTATAGCAAACTAGTCACAACCTTCTAACATCAAACAATTTAGAGCTTTTTTTTGGCTTTTTCGGATATTATAGAACATTTGTGCTTAACTTTGGACAAATTTCCAAATCACTCACTAACAAGTTGAAGAAAGGTAGAATCCATTCGAATGATGATTTGGTTGCTGCATTCCAAGCCTTGAAATAGACCTTGTTACAACTATTGTCATATCACTCCTTAATTTTTCTAAGCCATTTGTGGTCGAGATAAATGCTTTCGATATTGGGAATGGTGTAATGCTTATGCAAGACAAACATCCAATTGTTTATATTAGCAAATCCTTGGGTCCCAAACAACGAGTAATGTTCATTTATGAGAGGGAACTCCTTGTTATTGTGTATGCAATCAAAAAATGGGGCACTTATTTGTCTCACAACCCTTTTGTCATCAAAACTAATTAAAAAAGCATCTAGTTTTTGTTGGAGTAGCGAATCAACACCCCTTTTAAGAAGGTGTGGATTTCCAAGCTCATGATATTTGATTCTGAAATCTAGTATAAGGAAAGAGTGGAAAATAAGGCTATCAATGCTCTTTTTAGGAAATTTTGGGGCTACACAACCAATGATGCTTGACAAAACACAGGAAGGTTTACTAGACAACATTAAAGCCTCTTGGTATCAAGATCCTCTATTGCTGACAATCATTATGGATCTACAACATAACACTAAATTGCACCCCAGGTTTACTTGGTACAAGGATGAATTAATGAGAAAATGCTAGTTATTGGGGTTGATTTTGAACTCTAGAAATATATTCTTTATTGGTTACATGATTCCCATTCTATGGTCATTTAGGTATAGATGTAACATCATTTAGGGTGAAGTCATTTTTCTTTTGGAAAGACATGAACAAATATATTCAACAATATGTGTGGGAAATACCAATGCCAAAAAAAAAAAAAAAAGCAGCTAGATTTAGCTGTCTGTAAGGGTTTATTGTAGCCACTCCCAATTCCCAAAAAGGTTTGGGGTCATATTAGCATGGACTTCATTGAAGGTTTGCAATCTTTAGCATGAAGGCATGTTATCTTTGTGGTAGTTGATCGATTGAGCAAGTATGCCCAATTTTTGCCCTTATCCCACCTTTATGCTACCCTTGATGTTGCACAATTTTTCTTTAATCACATTTTCAAGTTACATGGTATGCCTAGTACAATTACTAGTGATTAGGACCCTATTTTCTTAGCAAAGTTTGGAGTGACCTATTAACACTTTAGGGAGTTTGTTTGAACAAATCCACTATTTATCACCTTAATTAGATGGGAAGACTGGGATTGTTAATAAATGCCTAGAAACCTACCTCTACCGTATGTGCTCTGATAAGCTCTCTTCATGGTGTAATTAGTTATATTTAGATAAATGGTGGTATAATACTAATTTCCATTTTGCAACTAAAACTACTCCTTATGAAGTAGTTTATGGCCAACCACCTCCCATTCACCTTCTAAGGGAGTCCTCAAATTTGACAGTGGGCAAAACTTTAATTGCTAGAGAGGCAAACATCAAAATCTTGCAACTTCATCTCTTGAGGGCTCAAAATCAAGTGTCTCAACAAGCTAAAAAACACAAGAGTGACAAGGCTTTCACAATTGGTGATTTTAGGTTTTCCTTAACTTGCAACCTTATTGACAACATTCTATGCACCACAACACTTTTGACAAACTTCTTCCAAAGTTCTATGGCCCTTTTAAGGCAATTGACCATATTGGATAGGTCACTTATCAACTAGAGTTACCTTCCTCTACTGAGATACATAATGTATTTCATGTCTCACAATTAAGTTATGTAAGAATCCTACTACAAGTGTTGTTTCATCCCTACTCTTGTTGTTGATATCCTAGATTCTCCACATGAAGCAGAGGCCATTCATGATAGAAAAATGATTAAAAGAGGTCATGTGACAACTACTAAGGTGTTCATTAAGTGGAAAAACTTACCTATTTAAAGTCTACTTGGGAGTTTTACTACGATGTTCTCAAAAAGTTTCCTTGCTTCCACCTTTGTGGTCAAGGGCGTTATTGTAGCAATAGGTATTGTTATAGTAATTACCTATTGTCAATATTAAACAAGTATGTCATTGTTCCATATACTTAGGTATTTTCACCTTTTTTTTTTTAATATTATAGGCTTTTATATTTTTTACTAAGTTTTTTTTTCTTCTGTTTTACAAGCTAACATGACTTGGTAGAAGATTCTAGATTGTATTGACAAGGTGTAGTACATGTGCTTATTAGTAATGTCTAGTGACAAATGAAAGATATAATGATTCTCTTTTAAAAAAATTATTCTTTCTCTTTTAACTAGTTCTTTGCTATCCAATATGAGTTCTAAATATCGAGCTTTATTTCCTCATTGGGGCTCTTGCTTAGAACTTAGGATTTTATTGATTCTCCCTAAAAATTCAAATTTTGTCAGTGTGGAAAATCAAATCCCTTATAATATGCGTTCTCTCTTTAATATGGGCTTAATCCCAAGTGTTTATAGGCCTTAGGCTTTATTTAGTTACAATGTGATAAGCCTTTTGAGCCATCCCACACATTGTTAAGTATGTTTCTTTGTTTACATTCTTGATTCTTGAAACAAAAGTTTCAAGCAAACAAATTTGCTAAATGCGTGTTCTTCAATGCAGCATAGCATCGTTGTGTGGTCACTAAAGAATTGTATAAGCTAATATAATTCAGTACTTAGGCATAGAAACCATGGTGGAAAAAAGCACACATGAATGGAGTTTTCACAAATAAAATATTGTTTCAAACATCTTTTATCTATTTAATGAGATCCTAATATAATCAAATCTTCGTGAGGTATAACCACATGCCTCTATAAAAATCTAGTGGTTCATAAACAATCAATCTAGTCTTGTATAGTTGTCTGAAGAGGTAGAGAACTTTCAACTTCTTTAGAAGCATTGGAGTGACCTTCTACAACTACCTTGGACAAACTAAACATCTGAAATTGGTCCAAAATCATATTATATCAGCAAATGGTAAAAGTGATGTGAATAATTTTTCTCAAGAAACTTTTGTACCAACCTTCTTAATTGTTTTCTTAAAGCAACTTTGGTGTTCATCCATAGAAGCACTAATAAACTCATCAATGTGATCCTTCAAATCATCCAAGAAAGCAGCTTCTTCATTCTTCTTCTTTCGACATGAAGCAATGGATGCAGCAGTTGCAGCGGATGAAGACTGCATTTCAGGTTGGCTTTTCTGAGTTTCCATTCCCTCCAAGACTCCAATAGCTGAAACAATATACACCACTGACTCAATTATCATCAGGCAATTTATTTAAGCATCATCATCACTCACATATACACTATGCTATGATCAAAAAGTGAAATAAAGATGTAATAATAATTTTGATTTAGCTTGTTCTAGTGAGGCATGACCTTAAATTTGTGAGAACTAAAAGGCAAAAAAAAATATGCATAATAGTCTAGAACATTAAGAGAGAACAATATCTCTAAACAATTTAGAATGACCACAAGTCATGCCCTGCAGGAAAATAGACCAACCGGATAAAACCAAACATATCCACTAGGATGAACTACAACTTTTTTAATCGATTTTTTGAAACAAATATCTAACTAATCTGCCCAAATAATGAAAAAAAAAATTTCACAGTGGGTAGCAACTTCAACCTTGGAACTATGCCATCAAAGAAACCACATGAAGCCAATTAAATTACTACCAACTCATCCCAAAGTATCAACAACTCAAGTAGTTAATTAAGGTCAACAAATGTATCTTATCTAATCAACCCCTATAGAAGTACTCAAATCTAAAGGATGTCACAGTATCCAAGTCTAAATAATACTTCCATAAACTATACTAATAATTACTTCCAAAGTTACTCGAGTATTAAACAAATAGCAATTACCTACCCAACAGATAATGATCCTGGAGAGGGGGAAAAAGGTAAAGAAAAACTACATGGCATTACAGCAAATCAAAACATCCATAACTATCCTCCAAATAAAACACATAGCTATTCAAATTATCTTGGAAACAGTGAGGCACTTGCAACAGTAAGGCAACTAAATTTTAATAATAAAAACTAGAAAAGTTACCACTAACATAATTAGGTTGGAGAACAAAACATAAACCACTTTAAAAGTTTGAATATTTGCCCAAGAAAACAAAGTCGAGTTTCAAAAGGCCATTTACACACAGGGAAGAGTGGAAATTAAAACATACTACAGCCCCTTGTACATTCATCTCAAGTTCTAACATGGTTATCCCTAAGCCAATTTTCACATTATAATAACTAAAACATACTAAATTTACCGCATAAAGTAAAAGCAATAAACAAAAATATAATAGTCAAGAAAATTGAATTATAAAATTTATAAACAATACATGAAATATATAAAAACATGAATTAGAATATTTAAAAGATGTTGACCCTTGACATGGTATCAAAGTTTGTACTACAAACTAGTCAAGAAATTAATCATTGCTACCATCCCTATCCAATCGAAAGCCAACAAAATGCAAATACCATCCTATACCTGACCCTTTTCCCACCATAGCTAACTAACTGTGGCAACTTGCCCTCTGTATTTAGAGCATTTTTCCTTCTTACATTTTCTAATATATACTTTCCGGTTCTTAGGCCCATGATTAGGTAGTAATTGTAGTACCTCATGTCTTGATGTTCTGATTTGACTAGTGAACTCTTTGGCCCTATTGGCAAATTAGATACAAAATTTTTCATGAACCTCACCTAATAACTTAAGCTTTGAGGGGAGGTAAGTTTTTACTAGAACAAAGACTAAATTAAAATAATCCACAAGTTTGGCTTGTGGAAAATAATTTCATAGGAATCAGAACAAATGGAAAATTGGAATACAAGCAATTCTTAGAAAAATGTGTTTTTTAAATTTTTCAATGAGAAATGATATTTTTGCAACAATTTGTATAATTAAAAGGGATAAAGAGAGAGAAATTGGAAATGTATAAATGACGTGAGAAACATAAATAAATATAAAAAATAATACTGCACAAATTGTTTTATTAAGTGATATATAACCTCTTGCAAAACACCAAGTTTACATGTAACAAAACATAAAAGAAAATTGTGTGAGAAACTCCCAAACCAAGTTAAATTACAGTACCCAAATCAAAAGTTGTTAAGTGGTTGTACACTTGTGTTTTTTAATAAAGATTAGAGTTTGATTTCTGACTTGGATAAAGGGTTACGATTAGAAATTTTACTTTATTCCTATAGGGTCGGCCCGATGGGGAAAAGTATTAAACCTCCTTAGTTTAAAAAAATAAAATAAAAATTACAGCACAGAAAGGAGAGATAGAGAAATCTAAGATATTAGTTGAGTTACCCAAATATGAGTTCTAGCAATACATGTTGTAAGACACAGATCACACACAAAATCAAACCTTGATTTTCGAAGAAAACTAATTAAATTTCAAGGAACCGAAATCTGAAATTTTCATGCTTAAAATCCGTATGTTAAATTTCCAAACTAATAAACATTGTGTGATTCAAAGGTTGCGCTTTGCATGATTAAAAACATTGCGGTTTTGTTTTCCGAATAACAACTCAATAATTGTCCAAATTCATATATGAAAATAAACAAGAGAATTCCAAAGTTCAACTTTTCTTCAACTTCGAACCAATTTTTTTAAAGAAATTAATTAATTTATATTTAAGCACAAACAAAATAGCAACCGAAATAAACAAATAAGGAGAGAAAAAAAGGTACTTGATTAGACGACCTCGAAATTGATTCAGAAACTCAAACCACAAACTTTGCGATGGCGACCCAACAAAGAAGAAGACGGTTGTAATTGTAAATGACAAAAAAAAAATGGTTTTCTGCTTGGTATTATTAACCTCATCTATTCAGGCACGAATATATATATATATATATATATATA